GTGAGCACTTTCAGGTGCTGTGTGACCTCATGCTGTTACAAAAGAGCTTAGAGAAGCTTAAGAACAGGGCAGGGTGGCGAGGGAGAGGGCTGTTTTCCTTACGAGCCGTGTTATCCCAGAGCAGACTGGGGCAATTTTAGGGAGAAGGGGATTATAAGTGACAAGGAGAGAGTTGGCATGTATCAGGTTTAAGCCCTAGCCTGGGTTCTCTGTTCAGGTAGCCCTCTCCTGTATGTGGAGTGAAACACTGGCAGGAAAAGTAGCTGATGTGTTACAAATTGCACATGTTGAAAAAGTTAGGGTAATGCAGTCTGTAAGATGCCTGTGGATTCATGTCCATTACATTCAAAGGTTTCACTTCTTCTGACTTGTGTTTTTGATATATAATAGAACCCTCATTGGTGTTAAATACAATGAAAACAGTGGATTTTTTATACAAGTCATAACCATAGCATCATATCCAGAACAGGAGGAAGAGAAAATCCTATTTAATTGTTACACTTTATGCTCAGGATATTCTCCCTATTCCTGAGTTTACTCTATACCTAGTACATTTATTTAAACAGTAATGCTTATTTAAAAAAAAAAAAGAAAATGTAATTAATACTGAAATGGCTTGTCTGTTTTGAAGCACTACTCTATTTCTGTTTAATGTAATTACTGTATTTAATCTTAGGAGGAGCTAATGCATGCCTTGTGACAAATTTGTTCATTGCTCGGTGTCATGCAGAAAGCAAAAGAAGAAGTCAAGCAGTAATATGGGTCCCTTGGGGAAATTCTGTGGCTGCACTGAAAATGCAGAGCATGTAAAATAGCAACATAAAAATTATGAAGTGCTCCATATGACTACAGAGGCCCTTCAAGTTCCCTATTGTACTCCGAGACAAATGCAGAGAGTGATTTCATGCTTATTTTAGTTTTATTGTTACTCCTTGGTCTAATTTGGAATCAATTCTTGCTCTGTTAGACAATAAAAGTAAAAGCCAAGAACAAATATTGTTGCGCAGAGTAATTTCCCTGTTGCTGCTGATCAGACCTCTTCTTCCATTACCTTTGAGAGAATCAATACTCAACCCTAGAAACAAATTATGTAGGCAAGCATACGTATAGCTGTTGGTGTCAGGCAAATGATTGTCGTAGCAGAGGAGACAAAGCTTTAAAGTTCGTTTCGAAAGTTAATAGAGGATTTTTATGCTACTTAAGATTTGAAAAGATATCATTCGAGCTGGGAAAATGATCTGGATTGTGGCAGAAATAAGTCAAAGATTGACAAAGCTCACTGATTTCTCTGGCAGATCAGTTGGACTTAGAAACGTCATCGTGGTTTTTAAATAAACTTGCATATAAAGGTTGTTTTTTTTTGTTTTTTGGGTTCTTTTTTGATGTGTGCTCTCCATGCAGCTTCATTTATTTTACCGAAATAAATCCGGGCCATAGCAGAGAGGACCACTTCTATTGAGAAATCTCATCTAGCCCATGAGGGGGTTGTTCTCTCAAAAATGGGAGCAGAACTGTGGTTTTAAATACTGTTGGATCTTTCTAATTCCAAGCATGTAACATGCATGACTTCTGCCTCCATACATTTACCCCCAGTTCGTGGGAATGCTGGTGTCTGTGCAGCTCTCCAGACACACGGCTGCGTGTCGTGTGGGTGACTGGGGCTCAGCGAGAGCTTTTCTCCTTTATAGATCATCTAGTAGAGAAGATTGCTTCTGTTATTTATTATTGTAATATTTCATTTCTGTCTCACCAGTCTGTGTCATATATAAAAGCTACGAGTAACAGCATTTTTTAGCAGATAACTCCCATCATGGATCATCCTGATAACCTTCACACGTCAGATAATTTAGAAAACAGCTTGAAATTTATGGCACTGCCTTGTAACTATAAGTGACTGATGGCAATATATATATTTAATAACGACACGCTTTTCTCAGCACTGTGAACTAGAAGAAAAGTGTTGGATGGAACGAATTGCCCTCGGTTATACATCATAAATCCCCAAACTGCACAGTGCATCGCCTGCTTGTGTTTGGAGAAGGTGCAGAGTGCTCCTTGCTGTTTAACCAGCAGCCTGGAGATACTGCTTGCTTTCCAGCAACTACACATAACGTGTGCCAGCTCTCTCCTGCTTATACTCTTGTTAAAATGTAAAGCAACAAATTTCCTGGCAGCCTCTGCAAAGCGGTGTAATAGAGCTATCATTAGGAGAAGGTGATGAGCATAATGTGAGTTCTTAGCAGTGGCAGTGAGCGAAGTGAAGCTATTAGCATCTTTCCAAAACAAGTAACGACTGAAAGGTTACTTCTCAGCTTTATTACTAAAAATGTTGTGGTATTTTAAGCAGGTAATATTTTGTTTTCACTTATCTGTGATTTTTTTTTTTTTATTACGAAATCTCGAGCTATGTGTTGCTTATTGAAATTAAAACTTCAGAGTTACTAAAACATGCTCTATTGACTGCATTGGAAAAGTGAAAATTTAGACATGGGATTTTATGTATGATTCCTGCTAACGAGGGATCTTAGCCCAGTGTTGTTCATTTGCCCCTGCATTCATCATTCTCCAAGACTTGCCTATCCCCTTTTTTATGTCAAAGTATGTGCTTTTCATTGGAATATTCTCAAAACATGAGACAGTAGTCATACTTCTGAGCTGCTTACTAAATAACTGAGCCCTATGGAGAATGGTTACACACAGCATGTACAAATAGGAAATCCAGGAGAAGGAATGGAGACTTTTGGTGGTGAGCTGTGAGCGCCAAGGCATTAGCAGAGTGAACAGGAAGGGTTAGAAAGTTCTTCTTCTGTATGAAGCTGTATTTAGTGATTGTGTTGGGAGCGTAGTTTGAAGGACAAATGTTGTATGGCTTGCCTATGTTGGCAGCTGAATTGGGGTTTTCATTGTGGTGTGATTGGCAGAGTTTTTGTGGAAGTCAGAGGCTGCAGTTCAGAGCCATTGGATGGGGTGTAGCAGTGAGTGGCAGTGTTTCTCCTACATGCCTTAACACTTAGTATGTATCAGTATTAAAAACAGTGACAGCGCTGCCTCTGTTCCTGAGTAAAGGCAGAGCTGGGCTCGCCAGCTTAAGATCTCAGCTTGTAAGAAAACATCAGTAGTGCAGCTCAGTTCTGCAGCCCTTCCAGAGATTTTTTTCCGTTACTTTGCGAAGATGATCTTGTATTTTTTCCAAATATATGATCACTGCTCACAGAAGAAATTATTTAACATTTTTTTTTATTTTCTGAAGGATGTAACAGGATTATTTTTCTTCGTGCGATTTATTCCTGCAAACACAAATCAGGCTATTGTCTTCAAGAGTGGAAAGTTTGGAACCAAAAGTATAATTTGGAAGTGAAACGTTTTTCAGCTGCAAGTAATATTAATAGTAATTGCCACTTAGTGGTGTTTCATTTGGTAGAAACAAACTATCAAAATGATAATTGTAGGATTCATTGGGATATAGATTGATTAACAAAGTAGACAAGCAAGTGGGCAGCGAGCATGGAGCCAGAACTGTGGCTCTTGTGAAGTCAGCTTAGATGGAATCAGGGGAGCAAAGCCCATTTTGCACCATTTGTCCAAAGAATAAACATATGCCATGTCAGAAATAGAACAGTTGGAGACGGTTGCTGCATGGGCCACAGCTGAGAAATAGCTGAAGAAAAATGTGGGGGTGATTAGACTTCTTTCGAGCCAGCTGATGGACTGAAGGTTGCAGAGGAGGCTGGGATGGCACCGTGGTGGCACCAAATGCACCTGACAGCATCTTTCCCAGTTCTCTTCATTGGGTGAAAGAACTTCGTGCATGTTATGAATGGGAAAGAAAAGTGAGATTCCACATGAAATCAGCTGTCTTGAAAACCTGTGAGACTGTAACTTGGTTTCCAGTGGAGGTGGAAATGCAATGCTTGCAATTCTAAGACTAAAAAATCGATTTGATATTTTTAAAACTCTCCTTTACGATGTTGTACATTATTTACTGGAAACAGTCTGAAGTGCTCAGGTAACACAGTGTATTATCTGTAAAGAAATTGTGTGTTACTTTGGACTTTTCATCATAACCTTCTGACTCATTGTAAAACCAGCTGATGGTGCAGTGTTTGCATCAGGATGTTCCAAGTCTTAACTCTAGATTTTTCAGTTCTGCTGAAATGTGGACTGATGGTGACGTACCAGAACCAAGCTTAAAATGAAAAGAGAACCTCTGTAAGGGTGAAAAGCTACAGTGCCTGTTATTGAAACAAAGCTCACTCGAGCAAATTGTTGTTCATATGTGGTTTGGGGCATATATGTGACCTCTGCTGTGTGACAGCCTATAGGCTCTGTCACATTATATAATTAGATTAGAATAAGCTTTCCTTATATGAAACAAGTTCTTTTAGATCGCTCATAAATTTCTAAATGGGAGTCATTCTGTAAGCAGAGCTCATTTTCTTTTCCCGTTATCTCCTGCCGCTCTGTGATATGAGAACACTTTGTTCTCCACGAGAGTCTTCACTTAGAGCTTTGGTTTCTCACAGACATAATTCACTAGCAGAGACACTGGGTTTTCTTAGACATCTTCATCAAGGCGTGCAGGGGAACAGATCCCATGCCCAAGGCTGGCTTTCCTTCCAGTTTAACCTCATTTATGGCTCCTGTTCTTGCCTGAACACAGAGGGACCGTTCCAGCTACAACATGGTCTGGGTTCAGGAAATGCAACTGCATTGTATCAGTCATCCCTCACCAAACTTTCACACTATGGAACATCTTAATCATTGAAAAAATGTCTTTTGATTTTTAAATGTGTTTATTTCCCCAAGAATTGCATAGTTCACTTGATATCTGCCTTTCTTATGTGTCTTTGTCTAGCATTAGGCTCTACTTTCTTTGAATGACTTATAGGTGAGATGTTTGCCTCTGAGTGTTATCTTATTTCCTGCATAACTACATGTGTATCAACAAAAGGAAATTAAACACATGCCTCTGTAACTGTTGTTTTCCATTCTCTTACCAGTTTGCTGTTTTGTGGTTCATAAGAGATGCCATGAGTTCGTTACCTTCTCTTGTCCTGGAGCTGACAAGGGACCTGACACTGATGTAAGTACATTGCCATTTGATATGCTGTTCTTCTAAATATTTTTATGTTGTGGCATTCAACTGCGAGAAGATATTACAAACACCATCAATAGGTTCTAAATGATTGATGTTTATAGTCCTCATTCGGAAGTGAATATTGAAGATTTATGGCCTTTAGAGAGCTGGTTTCTTTTAAAGAAAGCTAACAATGGATGAATGTATGACCAAGATCAGCATTCCTCAGAATGTGACAACCCTGAGGTGTTCACCCAAGCATGAAGCATGAAGTCAGCGTTTTATTTTTGTTTGCTTTGTTCTGTATGCATTTGATACTAACAGCATCCGTGAAAGGCTGAGGGTTTTGCTGAGCTTGTTTGTGAACCCAACACATCTCAAGGTGTAACTTCAAAGTTGATTCTGCTTCTCGTCCTCTGTACACAGAAGGTTGTGGAGCTTTAAGTACATGCCAGTGATGAGATCCAACCTAATCTCGAGCCAGCAGGCTTATCTGAGATAGGTTATCTGAAACTTGTATTATTATATTCATGCTTGAGCTGGTACACCCATCAGGATACACCCGTGCCATCTTGCCCTGTCAATACATGCATATACAAGCAGCATTTTTGGTCAACAATCAAACTTTCAACACATTATTTCACTGGGGTGACACAAAATTCTTGTAGATATGTCTCACCATATAGGCAGATCTATATTTTGTGTCACCCCAGTGAAATAATCAGCTGTTTGTTCACATAAAAATAACATTTATTTGGGATTTCTAAATTCCACTTTACAGTGAAGTAATTTAACATCTGCTTATGGGAACAATGCATTCCAAGTGTTCTTTGTCTAAATGGCTCTGTTTTGTCTCTTGTAACGTATTCATGCTCTAGATTGTAGGCTATTATCTCCTCTGATGAAATACACCAGAAGACTTTTCTTACTAAGTTTTAATGAGCTTCTCATGAATGGTTTTAATATGCTAGACATGAGATCAGTGAACAATGAGCAGAAGCTGCAAGGGGTTTTGGAAAGTTTTCTTGTTTTTTAGCTGAAGTACAGGGCTTAAGTACAGTAGCTAAACTTTCAGGCTAAGAACTGAAAAGCATATTAAAGACAGTTTGTTAAACATTTCACATAATGTAAATTTAGGCACATTAAGACATGCTTATCTTTGTGGCAGCAGACTGAGTTTGCTGGCAGAAACACTGCTGCCCTCAACACCCACTTCTTCTCCTTGTAACTTTCCCCTGCCTTCTTTCCACTCTCTGAGACTCCTGACCCGCTCATCAATTTGCTCCCAAATGGTGTAACCTGGAGATATTGCCTCCTTCAAAAGCAGACGTGTGCACTGACTTCACAGCAGTGTGACACATTCGAGCGATGGGTCAGGCTGGCAGTTAAGGTTGGACAATTTCTGTGGGCTGTTTTTGATCTGTTGTTGCTCAGCTCTCAGCATTTATTATATTCAATTTATAAAGTTAGAGGAATGGCTCCAGTCCTGAATCCTTTATATGTGGTGGATGAGTGAGCAGCAGTGAAGCACTCCATGTTTGCACTACGGACTGTTTCTTTTGTGTAAGTGAAAGATGCTGCTTGTTTAACTGTTGTACTTTTAATGACAGGCCCACAAGCACATCCTAAACTTCGGAGCGTGCTGTCACAAAATAGATACACCACATTTTAGTAATGGTGAAATGCTCAAGTGATTACAATAGGATCTTTGTTCAGGAGTTCCAAATGCATATATATTTTTGAGACATCGTGTATTTCTTCATAGCTTCAATTATTACTACTTGGGCAGTAGCTTACAGTGGAAGAAGCTCCACAGTGCTCTAAATATCACTGCTAAAAATATCTTCCTATATTTTGCTCAGGTGAGGAAATTTCCATTTTTTTGCAATAAGACATCATCTCTTTGGAAATGTGTGGGGTTTTTTTCTTAAGCTTTCTCAAGTGATAGACATTTATTATGAGGTTTTGTATCACAGAACCCTGTGTGATGTTCCTGCTAAGAGCAGCAAGGAGCCAGCAGGTCAGGATCAAAGGACGGTGTGGGGCTGCTAACGAACTGCTTGGAATATGCTCTGCACTTCCAAGGGAGCATTATTCTTCTTCCAGTAACAGTTATAAACTGTCATGCCCAGCACTGCTCACATAAATCAAGCCATTCTCACAAACGCTTCACTGGAATAATTATCAGTTCCATTTATTTCGCTTGATAAAGAGAATCTGGAAGTCTGGAAGCCGCAGAGACACCTCTCAACCAGGGGCTGCAGAAACGTCAATGTATGGAACGTTTCCCACTGTGATACAAAAGTGCTTTTTGCAGCCAAAGGAGGCAGAGCTCGCAGGTGTGTTCCCACACGTCCTGCTGAGGTCCGGGTATCTAGGACACGATGGCAAGCATTTATTTATAGCTTTGTCTCGAGGCGAGGTAGAATGGCATTTACACTGCATGCCTTGGGGGATGATGAGGGCTTCTGAGCAGCAAAGTTCATTAGTCACTGAGGGAGAGTCCAAAGAGAGGAAAGCCCTTAGTTTTTCTAGTCATCTTTCTGGCTTCCGTGGAAGGGTTTGTGTGGTCGAGATCTGAGCAGATCTTGAAAATAATGTTTCTTTTTTTTGAATGAGGGAATTAGAATACTTTCATAATAAACCAGGTGCAAAGCGATTTCCAGTTGCAGAGGGACTGTGAGCAGTTCTGTGGCTGCAGTGCCCTGCGAGGAGAGGAAGCTCCTCACTCTCAGTCATTTCCCTACGTGGATTGAACAGCTGCAACAAAACTTAGTTTTATGTCAGGCAGTTCAGAAAACAGGAGGAGTTTTCACACCTTTGCCGACCTTGCCTTATTTCCTAGCCCTTCTTCCACACCTGCATGTTTTGTAGCAAACTTTGACTGTGTACAGAAGTCCTGTGACCTGCATCACACTCACAATAGTGCTGTACAAATATTGTCTCCTTGTGTAGCTTTATTATTTGCTGCAGAACTCCACTGCTGTAACAGAGAAAACAAGTTATTTTTCGTTATTTATCTATTATTTTTTATTATTGCTTATTATTACTTTTGAATGCCTTAGCAGAGAGGCATGCAGGAGAGAGGGAAGCCTAAAATCACCCTCTTTTCTGCTTTATTCAGGTTGAAACATGGGGTTGCAAGATCTGGCAGGAGGTTGGAACTCGATGATCCTTGGGATCCCTTCCAACCCAAGCCATTCTATGGTTCTGTGATTCTATGATTAACTTTTTAAACGAGCCTTTAAAACTACGTGGATTGCACAAGAACTCAGACAGCACAGTCTCTGCATAGGCACTGTTCTCCTTTCAGACTTGGAAGGTTTATAACCAAAATAAATAAAGAAATAGAAATTAAAAAGTAAAAAAAAAGAAAAAAAAAAAAAGGTGTGGAGGCAAACAACTGTATGGTCAAGGGAGATTAAATCTGACTTTCCTACTCAGAATTGCAGTGAATTCTTAATATTTAAGCACTCAGAATAGAATGAATTGATAAGATTTTGATTACACAAAATGAAGCAGCAAAGCCATCACATTTCATTTGCCAGGGTGGCTGACCTTTTGTCTGCTGATGGTGACATATATGGGAAAGATGGTAAAGTGGATGAGCCTCTTGATATTGAAATTATTTGGGAGATTTATTGTATTAAGCACATTTGGGGGGGAAAAAAAAAAAAAAAAAAGCATTCTAAATTTGCACTGAGGTTGCACGGGATGCTGCAGTAGCCGAATATTTTCCATAGTGGCTTGGACAATTCAATGAAATGAGAAAAATAATTCTTGAGGGGGGAAAAAACAAGGAGAGCTGATGGTTTGCCAGCAGGAGAACGTGAGCCAGCCTCCTGCTGGGGCATGGTGTGGGTGCTGGCCAGCCGTGCACAACAGCACAGAGGTGATGAGTGGAAGGATAAGTTGCAAGGGATTGTTCTGATTTTTAGTGAGATGCATTGTATAGAACTCTGTGGCTCTACTGAGAGGATTATAGAAAGGAATGGAAATGCTAAGGGTCTTTGCTTTCCATGAGTGTTACGTTCTAAGCAGGGATCATATGGGCTGGAGTTTGGCTTGGAACAGTGCTCCTGGCACCTCCTGGTTGGCTTTGCTGGCTTTATATATGCCTTTGTATCTGCAGGAAGCATGCATGTGTATTCATGCTAGGAGGCTGGCTTCAGAATATTTCCAGGGTTGGGTTTGGGGTTTTTTTGGAAATATTTTCAGATTTCAGAGTGCAAGAAGAAAGTTGCTTTACTGGTCCTTACTGGGAATTCAAAACAGAACAAAATAGAACGACAACAAAAAAGCAGCTGGAAGCTCAGCATTAAGACTTACCCAAGAACCCAATTCAAAAGGGATTTTAATCAGAAAGCTCTGCAGCCCTTCTCCCAGGGATAATGAAAAGTGCTTTGCCTTTAACCATGTGGTTGTTGGACATCACAATAAACACACATCACTGGTTAATATTATTCTCACTGATCTGAATTTTGGGTGATAGGCAATCCTATACCAGAAATATTTTCTTGGTAATTAAAACAAAAATCTGCTCACTTTATCACAGAAGATACACAAAGGCAGGCAAGTCTGGCAAATAGCAAAGTTTCCTGCTTGCCAGAATAACAAAAATATGTGCCTAAAGGCAAGCTCTTGTTAATGATGTGACTCTGAAGCAGCTCTGACGCAATAAATTTTTAAATCTTTCATTGTACACTTGAAAAAAAGAAAATATAGAAACTCCTTCATGTATCATTTAAAGTACCAATTTAGTATGTTTTTGGTTTGTTGTTGTTGTTGTTACTAGAATTATTAATTAGAACAACTTTGTTTACAGTAGATACTGGTAGATATTCTATTTATAAAGCAATTACAGTGCAAGCATAACTTCTGTCAGAATGGTATTCTTTATGATATTCCTACTCCCTTTTCCTACAAAGCCAGTCCTAGGGACAAAAAAATCAACATTACACTCAGTGCAGCAAGTAGTTTAAAATGTTATGGTACAAAAAGAATAC